GCACTGGAGGATAATGGGTTCCTGGTAGCTTCATATTTGATTCTTCTCAAATCTCTGGTGGTTAATTTGCGTCTTTTCTTCTCAACACGTTTCTGGCGACCCTGGTGACTATTTGCTATAAAATGTTTGATGGTTCTGTGATCACGCCCCAATATCTTAGATATTTCAAGAGTGCTGCATCCCTGTGAAAGACTTTTTACAATTTTTGACTTTTCAGAGTCAGTTAAATCTCTTTTTTGGCCCATTTTTCCAGAGGAAAACATTCTGCCTAATAATTATGCACACCTTGATATAGGGTGTTGATCTCCTTAGGCCACACCCTCCCTCGTTACACTAAAACACATCACCTGATATGCATTAAGTCCAATAAGCGTTCAAGTTTATACTGCTTGGAGTTGGAAATTATGGATAAAATGATGATATGGTCAAAATACTCACTTGCCTAATAATTGTGCACACAGTGTATTGTTAAAGTGCTGTATAAATAAACTTTACTTACATGCTATTACATTTGTGTGTTTAAAGGGATTGCGTATATAACCATACATCTGTTTTAATAATCATTTGCACAAATTATATCATTACAACCTGAGGATGCCACTCCAGGTCCTGCAGAGAAAAACTCCCTGGACTCATCACTCAATAAGAAAGACATCAGATCATCCACACCACACCCAGCAACTCAAATGTCTTTCCACCGCACAACAGTGATGATGATGATAACTAGGGTTCATCCAGTTTATCCACTATGTCATCCATAAAAGCACCAGTCCACCAGTCAGGAAAGAGCAGGAAGAAGAAGAGAGGGTATGAGGTATTGGACACTACTGTCACATTACGCTGGGAGCAGCTTCAAACCTATACTGCAATGATATCACTTTCGCACAGGTTGGTGCAGACTCTTTGCAGAAACTTCCACCAGAACATGTGGAAACAACAAAATTCAAAGTCTGTGCTGTGCTTGCTGACTACACTCCCAGTAGCTTTGCATAGCAATCCAAAATCGTTTCAATTTTACTTTTGGAAATTTTGGCTTCCGAGTTGTTGTTTTTATTCAATTTTCATTCATTTTGTTCTGACACTGTGAAATTATTATCCTTTGTCCAATTTTTTTTTTCCACATACAGTACACAATAAAACTAAATGAAGGCCAAAATAAATTACTGGTCACCTGTGATATTTGTGAAGTTCTTTGCTATGAAAAGGAATGCAGATCATTAGAATTTTGTTTTGTTTAATATTACTTGTTTTTTTTAACATTTTAATCTAATTTTATCTATAAATATAATTACACAGTTGTCAGTTTATTAGGTAAAATTAATGCAGTCTAATATAACAGGCCTGCAATACACCAACTCTTCATGGAGGTGATAATGTTGAGTTAATGTTCTAATGGTTTCAGAGAAGTGTTGATTCACTTGTATGGTCCATTTGGAGGATGTATTTTGTGCTGTCTTTTCCCTGCACTGCATTATACAGAGAAATGTTGCTATTATTTAGGCTAGCCTCACTGATATAAATGGGGTGGGCACAGTAATACAAACACCAGTGATTATAGTGATATACAGTTCAACAGCACCATAAACTACAACTTCCAAAATAATAAAGCTGAATCAACAGCTCTCTAAAACACTTTGAGCACAAACTGAAAGGTATCAGTTTCATGAAAGGAGGGTTTATGCATGACTGTTGTATTAGATTGGATTAGTTTTATCTAAGTGTACCTAATACAATGACAGCTCAGTGCATATAGCCTATATAAAATTACTTGACAGTCTATAGATTATGACTCATTTTGCTTTTGTTTAGAAAAACAGTGAATCTTAGTTTATATTCACAACAACACACTGACCAAGTTGCTTCTGTTAGAAATTTTATTGATGACATTTAAGTGAGAGACACCAAGTTGTGTGGGTGTGTTGTTTAGGCAGTGTCAGTTATCTGCTACATTTGCACTTTAATTTAGTTGGCCAGACCTCAACAGTGCATCCTGCCAGGGCAACTTTCCTGCTAGAGTCTGGAAAAACTGCATCAGATCTCCGTGGACTCCTGCAGCAGCACATGATGCTCTGGTGTTTGACAGACATCCAGGAGCAACAAAACCGTTGTCATTTGCCACCTGCCTTCTCCATTCTCCCTCCGGTATCCCACCAGATATTGAAACTGTATCTGCAAAGTTTGGTGGCACATATTTTGCTGCTGGTGTGTTGGTGGCATCAATCCTGATGAGGTAACTGTGAAGAGTAACTCATGCCTTGACCACATCAGTGACTTTCTCTGGGTGAAACTCCGTGGGCCGTCCAAGAATTCGCCACCTTACAGGCAGAGCTCCAAAGGAGTTTTCCATGCTCTGTCTCACTGTTGAGTGACAGTAGTTATACAAGTGAGCCCGCTCCTCAAGATTGGAACCTGCAAAAAAGAAACAACCACATAGTATTATTATCAATTAAGTATTATACTGTATGAAGAAACTGTTTCATTACTGGTGCTCCTCAACTGTGGTATCAGCATTTTAAAAAAAGTTGGCTTACGCATAACGCTAAATATAGAAAAAATGCTATTTATTAAACCCACCTTGGAATGGCTTCATGAGGTTCTCCGACAAGGACATGGTATTTTGATACTTGTTCCAGGAAGGTTAGTGGTAAGTCCACTCTGCCAAAGTGGCTCTCCTGAAAAACACCTCTATCACGCGCTCATGCATATGCACGCACATCAACCATAGTGAATTTGCAGTGGGCATCACACATTGCCATTAACACTATGGAATGATGTCCTTTGTAGTTAAAATATTCACTGCCAGAACAAGGTGGTGCTTTAATTTGTAAATGTTTTCCGCCAATTGCTCAGACACAATTAGGAAAATTCCACAGACTCCAAAAGTCGGCCACAACGTCTAGCCATTGCTGGTGTTTGGGGAAGGACACAAATTCATCCTGCAATGTTTTCCAGGCGGCTTGGCAAACTTTAAACAGAATCAAAGATACTGCTGTGGCTCCCATCCTGTAGCTTGCAGCTACACTTTGCTGAGGAGCAACACAGGCTAGGATCCTCAGTCACCCGTAGTCGCTCACCTGTACTTACTGGGGAGCTGTGGGTGGACTGGACGTGTGGTTCTATGCGGTGCAGTACATCAGAACACCAGTGTGGTGACAAAAATATTTGAAATGCATCTTCTCATCCGCCGAGTGCATTTACCACACAAGCAGGTTATATTCACCCTGTTCTTGCCTGGATGTAATCAGAGGTCTCACATACCATCTTCTTCTTTTTCTTCCACAGTGGGTTGCAGTGTATTCCTCAGCATAGTACTGCCACAGCTGATCCTCTGGTATAGAGTTGGCAAAGATATCCCCATCCGTTATTTCTACCACTTCTCCTAATGAGGGCCATGGGGGTGCTGGAGCCAATCCCAGCTGACACTGGGCGAGAGGCGGGGTACACTCTGGACAGGTCGCCAGTCTATCACAGGGCTGACACATAGAGATAGACAACCACACACACACCTCACGCTAGGGGCAATTTAGAGTCACCAATCAACCTAAGCCGCATGTCTTTAGACTGTGGGAGGAAGCCGGAGGAACATGCAAACAACGCGCAGAAAGGCCCCGGGTCAGCCCGGGCTCGAACCTGGAACCTTCTTGCTATGAGGTGACAGTATTAATCACCATGACACCAGCGATATCATTTTTCAGCAAATTTGCCAAGAATCTCCAGGTTTCTTCATCCATTATTCTGCTTGTTTTCACATAGAAATGGTTTTCTTTGCCAATTTCTGTTTTCTGTCTTCTTCTATGTTTTCTGTACTTTGTTTGAACACCCCCTATCCACAATGTTAATGTTCATTCATTCATTCATTCATGTATAAATGCAACAGCTGTGCAACCACCTCCAAATGACAGATGAACATGTTCCCATATGTCCAGTGACACACAAATCTAAATTTAGACTTCAAAATAGGGGCAACCTGATATTACTGCAGTACAGAAATGCCAAAGTACAAAGAGTGTCACCAGAAAGCACTGACAAGTTTAACTGATGAGCTGTTTAATGTCCTGCTCAATGTGTATCATGCAGTGTGTACATTTTTTTATTCCCAAATATCAAACTTACCTCAAAAGTGCACAGATAATAACATAAATATGAAACAGAAATGGACATAACTTAGCTGTGTTGTATACACTTTATGGATAAATTAACATGTCACAGTAAGCCAGCAACCTTCCAGTTGTATCTATCATCTACCAGTTTACCTCAGACAGATGTTTTCAACAGGTCACTTATCCACTTCACAATGTTATCAAATGTTGATCCTTTAAATTCCTGTGGCCTATTAACTGCCATGGACCAAACCCACCTTATCTGGTCATGAAAATAACTCTTATAATTTCTGGCTGTTACATCATCTTTATCATCAGTAGTATCATGTGACTTCAGCGCTGCACCTAAACACACAGGCAGACTGTGCATGCTGTGTGGATGTATGGTGTGGCGATATGCTTCTACAGCGCTGAAGTGCAGTAGCAACTCCGCAAAGCCTTGCGCTGTGAAGATGAACTCACTGGGCTATGTGCACACAGCCGTAGAGGGGACCTTATGCGTAGTGACACATGTAGCATGTAGAAATGAAAAAGAAAACATGAAACACAAGCAGAACACTTACACCAGAGTTCATAGTAGTAAGTGCAGCACTGTGACTCCCCACAGCAGTGTCCCGACTCACAGATGTAGCTCTGGTTGTTAACACCTTCACAGTGCAGTAGGCTCTGCAAGGCAAGCACAAGAAGCATTGTTACTTTACAAAGTAATAAATACAGAAGCTACCTGAAATTCAGCCAGTTCGTTTTATTATTTAGCCTATACCTGTGCTTTTCCTACTGAGACATGTCAAAATGCCTTATGTAAATGTGGTGCAAAACTGAGATCTTAAGAAAGACTATGCTATGATAAAGTATATTATATTGACTTATTACATACAAACTACAAAAGATTTTATCCTATAAAAACTAGCATATAAAATATTTCATACACAGATAGTGTGTAGTATAGAAAAAGGGCACTGCATTTTCTTTACATTTAGCTCTGACATATACACACACACACACATATACATACATATACATACACACACACACATATACACATATATATATATATATAAACACTGCGGAAATCTAGCAGCCAACATTTGTACTTAGTTATGAATGAATCAGGAGTTGACCAATCCTAACCAACTTAAACATTGAACTAAGGTCTGAGCAGAATTTATATCAGGAAGAGTTTGGTACAACATTCCACTTTTATCCAAAATAATAATGTTTTTGTCTCCAGAACAACAGTCTCTTACACATTTTAACTCTTAAACAGCAGCCTGGTCAAAGGTTTAAGTTACTAAGCACATCATACTCATAAAAAGTTAAGCTGTTAAAAGGACACAAGTTGAATGAGGATGAAATGTTAAAAGATCTGCACAGCGCCAAGTGGAGCACTGTCATCAAAATCCTCTCGTGAGAAAGGTCTATGGAATTTTCCCGAAAGATGCCTCAGATGTTTTCTTCTACATCAGTTTAATGATTAGCTAGCCAAAGTTCTACTGAAGGAGAGGTTTCTCTCACTATAGATTACCAGTGCAGGTCGAAGACTGAGAGGCATGATGATCCAGGGTCCAAAAATCCTAGACAAGTCCACTTCACCTCTTGGGTCATTACCCCATAGAAGAAAAAAGTCAAAATGCTCTCAAAAATACTCCCTCTCTCTCTCTCCCTGCCCCACCACCCTCTTTTGCTCTGTCTACTGCATCCACCTACACACAAACATAAACACACTCCCAACCCACTTCAATCCAGGTCCAAACGGTGAACAGGGAATGCTCTACGGAAATTTCCAAGCAGCAGTGGGGAGCGAGCTCCTAGCAGGGCCCTGGCTGCATGATAATAAGGTGAACTTAGTGCTGAGAAGTGCGTGTGCAAAGTGTGAGGCAGGAAGAGAACAAGAAAAAGACTGGGAAAGCCAAACAGAGTAGTAACGCAGGAATGATTCCCCCAACACGACACACCAGATCAGCACAAACCAAACAGCTGAGGTTAAATGGCAGATTAATCATTTCTCATCAGCTGCTTCAGCATTTCTAAACACCCAACCTGGCACAGAAGGTTTTAATCCCCTGTAATAAACACGACGGACGTGATGTTCTGTTCCTCCACTTTGTCTCTGTTAACGTCAGCTGCTTTTACTGACTTGGCAGGATGGGCCTTTTTTGCCCTGGTTTGTTTGGGTCTTCAGTCTGTGACGAATAAAGACAGCCGGGTACTGAAGGGCACTGAGTGTTTGCAAACACACTTTCATACAAAACAAATGCTCCATCTGACTTGTAAATCACATGTGACCCACAAAATAAAACTAAAACTTGTACTGTTGGAAAAGTGAGGTTACAGAATGTTAACCCACTGAACCTAGGAAAAACATCTACATCACCCAAGATATTAGTATTTACTTATCCTGTCAGACAGTGACTTAATACAATCTGGACAAACAAGATTCCTCTGTCTCACATTCAGGCAGGCAACAATGAAGCAATCCACCTCGCTCATGCAATACTACCAGATTAAAGTCAGATTTGGTTACTGTCCCAGGATTGATTGCAGCATTAGAAAATAATCAACCTTAATAATGAGAAACTGTTGAAAAGAGCAGACAATGAGAAGAGTTCTAACATCTCCTGGTGAGTACTGAATACTGTTCCTGGAGACAAGTGGCCACAGTTAATTCTTGACTGCACAGTCAGTTAATCCACTTAGCATGGGCCTCTAGGACTTGGCAAGGGAGACCTCACTGACCCTTTACTTATTATCCTGTCCTGCAACAAAGAAAGGTGCTCTTTCACAGACATCAAGGTTATGCAGAACAAAAAACCTGCTGACGCCATTTGTAACAGTTAATACCATATATTGCTCAAAAAAGTCTACTAAATTTAAACAGCTAAAGAGGACAGTTGAAAAAACTCTTAAATTACCAACATTGCCTGCCCAGCACCAAAGAGCAGTCAGAATAAGTATGTTTAGCAGCTAGTTGCTGTAGAAAACAGTGAAGTATTTAGCTACTAAAACAATAACAGCAATGAACTCCACAGCGTGTACATCATGATCATAAACTTCACTAGTGGAGAACAATCTGGACCATCAACTGTATTAAATATGGACACCATGACATCTCCCAGAAGTGAAGCCACTGCAAAGGGTGATCGCCCCCTGGTGGCTGATTGCAGTATAGGTCATAAATCCCACCTCCTCCATGTTAGTGGATAGGAAATGAGGCAAAATAAAAATCCAAAGTACAAATCTGATAAATTTTTTCCCAGAGGTGATTTCTATTGTTTTTGGTAGATACGTGTGTGCAAGTGGTCATTTTTCTAGTAAGGTTGTTTTTAATAAGTTATTTGATTATATAAAAAGAGGTGTATTTCAGTTGATTTAACAGCTTTGATTGGTGGTCTGATGCTGCCCCTACTACTCAGAATCTGGTTGCAAAAAAGTAAGACAGCAGCTGCCGTATTCACAATGTTATGGCTTCATTTTTGCACAGCGAAGAAAAGTGCTAACACCATCACCCAGGCCTTTAAGTGGCACCTCAACTTTCATTCTCATTATAGGAAACCGTTTTTGTTTTAAAGTGTGATTGTGGCCTTTTTCAAATATTACAATGCATAATGTAGAGGAAAAACTCATAGTGTGAACTGCTAATGAGAAATATTAATCATAATGTCTGACAGTAACAAGTGATGACAGACACAATATAGCTGTGTGTTGTATGGACTTTTAGAGAACAAACTTGTAGCTCTGGGTCATTTGATCAAGTTATTGTCTATGAGTAGTCAAGGGCTGTCAGCTTTACATGCACCAACAAATGACTTGAATCAGTTCTGTAACGTTGATTTCCATAATAATCATGATTCTAATCCTTTTACTTCTCAATCAATTCACATACAATTTTTTTTTATTAATTGCTATACAACGTTGGTATGTTTGTGTAGCAAAAAATGCAAAACTACACCACTGGGCACAATGCAGCATTCACTCCAGAACATGTAGCTCAAGTTCCGTTTCTGCAAAAGAACCTAGACATTTCAGACAGTCATGAAGGTCAGTAAACTTCACTTTAAAAGCATGGTCAAAAGTAACAGGCGTGGATTTTTGCAACACAGTGTAGTTCTTGTTTAATGTACTGAAAGCACTTAACATGTAAATGTAACAATTCCTTATTTTGTTCATTTGTTTTTCATTTACACTTTGATTCTTATTTACATTTCATACTGATCTAAAGCGGTACACTTGCTATATGTATTTTTTTCATATTTGAATGATTTAAAGGATTTCAGCAGTTAACATTTGTCCTTATTTTTGTGTGAAGGGTCACAGAATTTTAAATTAAACAGCTGTGTAATTGCACAATCTACACATTTTTTTCTGCTTTGTTTGCTTAGACCACGCTGGCTTTTCCCTTGTTATTCGGTAGAGTAAACACACAGCTGGAAAGTCACACATAATGCAATAAGGAAAGAACCTGAGAACCAAGGCACTTCTCATTTTAATTAATCACACCTATTTTGAATAAATAACTTTAAAACTAATTAGGACACCAAGAACTTGAATTTAACAAAATTGTTAAATTCCTAAAGATTCTCGTCCCATTTGGTTCCCACAGTTTGAGTACACGTGTACACTTATAAATAGACAGAGATTCATTTGATACTGCACATAACAATAGTACTGTAAGTGGGGTTTGCCCTGGGAAAAAACTGCAGTTTAGGCCATTAATCCATTAGATATGAACCTTGTGCCTTAGAAGACAACCAAGGGTATTATAAACATTAGCACACATAAAACCTCAGATATTTTAGCATTAGCTACTGATAACACAAAAAGGCTGCCATTTAAAAAGACTGACCAAGTTCTGATATGGGTGATAGCTGAGAGGTTCTCTCAGGAGAAATATAAATTACAAATGGCTAATATCTTCAGTAATGGCAAAACAACACTGCAAAGCAATGTGCTGCATGTTTTTTTGTTGTTTTTTTTTTGGTCAAAGGGAAACCGGCAATACAGGGGGTGCCAATGATGGCTTAAATCTAGGTTATTATTATTATAATATTGTTATTATAATATTGTATGATTTAATAATTTTTAAGAATAGAAACATATTTTAAGTCGATTCCTTATTTCTAGCTCCTCAGACGTTACAACATGAATTTAAACGGACAAAAAACTAAAGTGAATTAAACTGTGAACTAAAGACACTTAACTGTAATGTCGAGTCACTGCATAACAACAGTTCAGAATTAAAAGTTACATTTAGATCCTTACAACACCGTATCAATTCATTGTAAAGTTGTACATTTGTTTATAACGATGAAACTCTCAAAACACACCAACAATAACATTCAGGTTATCTTGACAGATTACTAACCAAAGTGATCAGTAATAAGAGCTCATTTCTGCTTTGCTGGCTAATATCATTACAAAACCCATATACCAATTGCTACTAGCTGTTACGTACACACATGTATCTGTTTTAACACTCAAAGAGCTGAGTTTGTTGTTTATGTCACCAACTTCTGGCTAAAATATTAACCCTCTCACCCATAAACACAACAGAGCAAGGCCCTGATTTGACACTGTTAGCAATGCTACGCACGTTAGCTATCGCAGCTAACATCCGCACTTAGTAAACATGCTAACATCTTTCTTGACAGTACAGAAAAATTTAAAGATAGCCAATATATATCGCCAACAGATATACAGGGATACAGTAATAACTGGGGTTGTTGTTTAATAAGCTAATAAATGTCTACGTTGACAGTTTGTCAAGTCAGCCAGGTAGTTAGCTAGCTAACAGTCCTGTGAAAGGAGAGAGCCTTGTTTACTGCTCAACTTACCTCGTCTGCTGCGGACTCGGTGGGTATGGCAGACCCAACAGTTTGCAGAAATAATCCCATTTTAAGAGCCGAACATACGCCTTTCATTCCTCCAAGATATGGCTACAACTACGGCAAAACATACGCACATAAACCCTGCTTACAAACTGTGTCTGAATATCCACTACTTCTCGGCCCTTGTCGGGCTGACAGGCCACAGTATGTACTGCCTCCTCTGCGAACTCAACATTTCAATAGGGCACGGTGCTGGCGCAACTGGTTGCTGTCGGTGCTGTCTGATACAGCTGTTACACAAGCAGTTTCCTCAGCACAACCGCACCGCCTTAGTATGCTGGATGTTGCATGCTGACCTCGACTCGATCCATGTACGTAACGTAATGGGCGTTGGTTTCGATGGATTATCACTGGTTTGACCCGCGATTGGACAACTCGAGCCAAAGGGAATTGGCTGACCAATCATTGACCTATGCGTCTCTGGTGCATGGCCCGAAAGTTTTTTTTTTTTTGGCCCATGAAAGTTGGAATGGCCTTGTTAGGTTTCCGGGTTCCTCTTCTTTAGTTTTATGGATAAGGACAGCCATGTCCTTTCTTATAGACCAACTTCAAAACCTTTTACTTTTGGAATCCACTTTTGTTAGACAATATATCCTCAGAGCACACATAAAAATCTTGAGACATAAGCAAGGAACGATCATATGAGATTTTAGATGCAGCCTTTTACTCACATCTCATGTGGGCCAGACTTTCAAAATCAAACAAAAGAAAATGGTTAGTGAAATGTGGATGCATATAAGAGACGTGGGATGTACCCCAGTTTGTCACTAGTGTACTAGGAAGTCTCTATTGCAACTAGATGTGCAGTTCTGAAAAATGAAGAAAAACAGGAAGAGATCATTTAGTAAGTTTTATTATATTACTCATTTTTCATGAAGTATATAGGATCAAGTATCTCCTTTAGTAAAATGTCTTTACATGATTAGTTCACTCAACTTGCAAAGTCACATAATTTTCCCATATATCTAGCCCTGCACAAAGGTTTTGTATTTACCTGTGTGAGATACTGTATGGACCTTTGAAACATATGCTATCAGCCTTGTATAACTGACATAGATGGAATTTTAACATTTAAAATTATACAAACTGACATTTTTAAAACTGAACAGCAACTTATTTTTTTAGCAGTGTTGCTAGTTACCCAGCCTAATCAAACTGTCTTCTACTGAAGGAACAGTCTCTCAAAATACGGTAAATGTAATTTTAAAGGCTCTGGACCCTACAACAAAACTGTATTCATTGTGTTGCACTGGGGTCAAAACCTGCATCAGCACACACAAGAAAGATACTCTGGCAGGACAAACACAACTAGGATTAAGTAAGAAAATGTATTGTTTTTGATATTTCAGTGAATCCTATCATTTAGCTTGAGAATAAAATATGCATTTAAGTCAAAGGGGGCTTTTGCATAGTCTGTGGAGCAATAAATATCCTTAAAACAAGCATAATTGCATTTTGTATTGTCACCATTCATCATCATATTAAAAAACTATCAAGACTGTGATTGGCAAGCGATCACCAGTCCCTTTCATTAGGTTGTCTGAACGGTATGCCTAAAAGCCTGAAAACATCCTTTTCTGTCAGTGTAGGAAGTGGAGTGCCGCCATAAACCTTCAAGCTGCCCTGGCGCACCACATCTTTGTTCAACGAGTGTTCTGATAAGCTCATGTTTTTTGTCTTTGCCAGGGCTCTCATTGAGCGGTTAAAGTGTGCTGACCCAGTAAAATACATGAGTGCACAGGCCAACTCATTGTAGGGCACTACAATGATGTCCAACCTGCGATGGCGGTGGCCGGGTCCTGGCAAGCGACACACACCCATGTATTTCTTCTGCTCTCCATTCTCTTCATGGCTCACCAGGTCATCTGTCAAAAATCCTTCAGAAAAAAAGTTTTTTCTTCTACTTTTGTTGAGGAAAACAAACCTATCACATGAAAAATCCCATCCACTTAAAAAATGATGCCACTTACCACTGTCATGGAGGCTTTGTAACACTTTGCTGAAAATGCCCTTGTGGGACTTGCCATCAGGGTGAGATATAAGTACATCAACATCTCCACATGTGGCCTTTCCCCGGCGGTATGAACCACAGGTTATCGCCACCAGGCCAGGGTCTAGGGCCTGTGTAGCATCTCTCACCTACATATACCCAAAAAATAACATATAACAGAGGCTGTCATCTATCCTAGAGTTATTTTGTGTTCTCTCTTTTTCAGTGTGTCTCGCCCACTGGCGAACACGCAAGCCTTTACCTGTTCCTCGCCAAATACTGAGAGGTAGACTTGCTGAAGTGTCACATATTATTTTGACAAGCCTGAGGGAGTACACATGCTTTAGTCATCTATCATGTGTACTTTTAATCTGGCAGCTTTCAAGGAAAAAGAAAATCCAGATAATACTATCTGAAAACAACCAGCGCTGTACTCAGCACTCTGGAGTGATCAGCTCTCTGGCTAACATTTCCCCCCATGAGATGCTCCACTTTGTAAAAATACATTCTGGTTTTCCCATTATCAAGTTAGGTTGACACAAACCTTTTCCTTTTTCCTCTGCTTCCAAATTTCTGAGGGTTTTGCGGGACACTTTTCAAAGATATCATATCTCTATGTAAACTTCAACAAACAAGCAGAAGGGGTGAAAGGTGCTAACACACTTGAGTCATCATCACAGAAGAATACATGCAGGTACTGTGACAAGTGATGATGCATTACCACTTTCTCTATGGCTGCTGCTTCCTCTCTAGGCATTCGGTCTAGAAAGTCTTCGTAGTGCTTGAGTCCTATTTTTTGCACGTTGCTCAGGTGGGCTTTTGTAGCAATGTCCTCCAAAGTGCGAAATCCCTGAGAGACAAACAACACTTTAGAGAAAACCATGAAAGAACATCCTTAACATAAATAAAATGAAAAGTGGAGTGAAAAAAGTGAAAAACCTCCATCACACAGTGTCCAAGAGCCACAAGGTAATTTCATTAAATGCCTTGTTTTGTCCGACTGACAGAACAAAGCTCAGAGACATTCAGTTTATTTTAATGTCAGACAAGCAGCAAACTTGAGAGCCTAGAAGCACAAAATATTTGACATTTGTGCTTGAAAATTAACTTAAATAATTGATAATAAAAATGCTACATGAGTAATGTTAGCTTGTTAACTGTTGCAGTTCTTAGTTATTAACTTAATCAGCTCTCTAACGATAATTCAATTACTTCAACTATTTTGATAATGAAGTCATTTTCAAGCAAAAAGAAAATCCAAATACTTGATGGTTCCAGGTTCTCAAATGTGATAATTCGATGCTTTTCTTGGCTGTATATAACAGTAGGCTGAATATCCTGGTGTTTTACACTGTTGGCCGAATGAAACGACATGTAATGATGTCAACTTTGCTTTAGGACATTGTTATGGTTATTTTTCACTGTTTCTGATTAATCACGTGCTTAACATAGTAAAGAAACAGAACTACTCACAGCTAAACACTTCATTTACACTGATCAGCCATATGGCCACTAACAGGTGAAGCAAATAACATGTGGGCTGCAGTGGTTAGTACCTACCGACAGTGGCCTTAGGAAGGGCACACTGTGAACCAGTGACAGGGCCATGGACGCCCAAGGCTCACTGATGATGAGGTCAACCTACTTTAAGTTAAACTTTGAAATTTCATTCATCCTTTTCAAAAGATTCCATTTAGTTTGAATTTTTGTTAAGATGGTTGAAAATGACAAATACTGTGCATTGGTCTCCATGAAGAGAAACATTTAGCAGCTATAGTAGTGATATCACACCTAGTGGGGAGATTATTGAATGTGTCTAAAAAAATACCCCTAACTCGTCCTCACGACCACAGTTTTCACTCCTTTTACATAAGTTTTTCACTGAATTGTAGACACATCTGTGCTCTTCCTGACAGTAGAACTGGAAGCAAATGGATTCACAGAAGATGCACAGTGAGCTGCAGGGTGACACGAGTGCCGACCAACTGCTGCACTGACTCCTGTGTACACAGTGTTAGGGAGGTGGTCATAATGTTATGGTAGATGTATGTGTGGGGGTGTGTCATGAAGATCCCACACATTCCAGCACATTTTTTGTTATTTTCTTTTTCTAAGATATTGTCTTACAGAATAATGAAGCCTCAGAGAAGCAATGTGCTAATTATAAATAGGATCTAGAGTATTACCCAAGTGATAGTGGATTTTTGAGGACAATACCTACATAACCTTTTTAAAGTTAAAAACAAATATACAGTTATGGGAGAGCTGTGATCAGGATATATACTGAGCAGAACATTTTCCAACTGAAACTAAACTTATCAGTGCTCTCTAACACACACTGTTTCTAAGTTACCTCAAAGAATATTTTTGCATTTCTGCAAAGCAAATTCTTCTTAACTATCATTTGATCTGTAAAGAAATACCAATGTTTTGACAATAACTGAATATCAATGGTGGCTGTATCCAGCCAGCCAAGTAATCAGTCAGACTCTTATCTAAAGTGTCAGTCTGGACTGTACTTCGATTATCTAACATATCTTTTAATGCAAGTAAATATCTTGTCACAGTATTGTACTTTGATGTCATTAGTTTGAGGATAAATAAAACTGTTTTGTTGCAAAGAAGGAATTGCAAAAACAGAATAGATGCAAACAACTTGATGTCTCTGGTATTATCCTTCATCCCCAATCTTTCACGTTAAATTTACATCCCTACAATAAATTAAATCTATGTGTGCATGTGTGTGAGAGTTACCTGTTGGTACCACAGTTGTGCAGTCTTAGCTCCTGCACCCCAAATGTTAGTGAAGAGCTCCAGTACCGGAACAGCTTCACCGATGTGATCTAACTTCCGGAGATGACCACTCTCCATGATCTCAACAATTTTGTCGGCCATGCGTTTTCCAATTCCTGGGATCTGACAAGCTTCCTGATACAAATGAAAAAAGTTAGAATAAATAAATAGATACAAAATAATCACTTGTATACTGAACTAAAATTGATCTGTGCACCTTAGTGACACTACCAACAATATCATACTAAAACATCTGCACTGCATTACCTGATACGACGTAATAGGCTTGTGGTAACTCTTCAGAGCGTTGACAGACTTGGAGTAGCTCAGCGCTCTCCACTTGTCCCCCTGGTGTGTGTAGGCCTTGGCCAGCAGTTCTAGTTTGTCTGTGATGTGCTTGTTGAAGTTATGACTTTTGGACTGAGACGACTGAGCACAGACCCACTTCCCTGCAACCACATTCTGAGAAACTGAGTCTGGACTGGGGCCAGGAGGCTCCTCTTGGGGGTGATGGCCAGTGATGAGAGCATCCAGGTCACTCTGACAGATGCCATCTTCTTCTCCTCGCACTTCATCTTTGTTGTCTGAGACTATCTGACAGTGGGATAAGATGCAAAACTATAACAACAATCCAACAGACACAGACTTGTTTTTAAGTGTTCAAGGTCTAGCTTTTGTCTCCAAGTGCACCAAGCACCAACTGACTGAAAGACTGGCAAACTCAATAAATGTCAAGAGAACATTTGTATTTTCTTCACATGACCTGGCAACCTACCATGTCTATGGTCTCCTCTTGGTTGGTTTGAAGAAACACTGGTTCTAAAGTAGTATTTTCTGCAGCAGGATTAACATTCAACACCTCTTCTCTAATAGTTTCATGTTGTGTTTCAGAGACCCTACATGGAGAGGAAATTTAAAAAAAAAGCTGCATAAAGTGACTCTAGTGTTACTCATTGAACTGTCTAATATGCATATTCACTGTCTCAGTTCAGTGCCTTGACAAGTAAAAATCTATGTGATAAAGTGGACACATAAGATACAGAAACAGTTCAAATCTGTTCAACACGAGCATTCGACAAAACCACAAGTAGCTGATTAACCTCTTGGGTAAAATAAGGCTGTAGCTGGCTACATCCAGGAGTTGTTTCTCATTGATGCACAAGCTCAACCAAGTGCATTTCACCAGCTGGACTCCCGAGGGCATACAGTCCACTTTCAGTAGCCGCAAAGCCCTGTCACTATCCATGCTGTCATCCACAACAACATGAGTGACACCAGGACACAGTGAATTCTCTGTCTGTCCTCCATTCTGCTGAATTTGTCTTTGGAAGATCTGGCATCTGGCATTTCCTATTCCAGCAGGTAAGACGTACACTGTGACGCCATTAAAAGTGTTTCCTGGGGCAGAAGAGAAGAACAGGTTATAATGGGCAAATGTGTTGTATTGTCTGGCTTCTGCTTTAGTGTTAACAGTATTTACATATATCTCTAATACATCTTTATCCTTTTTCTCCTAGCTCTACCTTCTATCTCTCCCTCATGCACACACACATGCACACACAATAACAACCTGTGACATCACATTCATTGGATTTCTTCTTTAGTGGGGGTGCATCTGTTCCCTGTAGTACTTGAGCCCTTTTAACTTTGGGGAAAGCTTTCATTATCCCATGACGAGGCTCCATCCTGTCTGTTACAGGGGGGGGCACCAGTGGCCTGTGGCACAAAGCAGAATTATAAGGTTATTTATAACTTTGAGGTGTAAAGCCCATCTGGAACATTAGCTGTGCACCACAAATTATATATTATATATGAATTCTAACTAATGTAGTGGGTTCACACTATAGAACTGACTCAATTAACTTTCCAAAAACATTTTTCCTACAATTTCCTTTTTTATATATTATTTATATTTTAAAAGTTACAATTTCACAGTGGTAATACTGCACTGCCAAAATTAAAAGCAAATGATGTGAATTCAAATCTTGTATGTTCTGGGCTTAGTACAAAGTACTAAGAAAAGGTAGTCTGATTCTTTACTTAAGGAAAAGCAGTAATACCACATTAAAAATACTTGGTTACAGGTAGTTACAGGTAAAAGTCCTGCATAAGTGAAAGTACAAGCTTTAGCATCAAAATATACTTAAAGTACCAAAATTAAAAGTACTTATTGTGCAGAATGGCACATTACACATGAATGTATATCATATTATTGGATTATATGTATTATATTATATATGTATTATTGTGCACATCACATTAAATGTTGCAGCTGATAAAGGTGAAGCTACATTTTAACTAGCTTATATGCTTATTAATGTGAATGACATTCCATGCTGCTGGGTAACTTACGAATTTTCCATCAGGAATCAATAAAGTTTTATGATTATAGTGTTTGTTGTATTATTAATCTGATTTTGAAAAGTAACTAGTAATTAAAGATTATCAACTAAATGTAGTGGAGTAAAAAAAAAAGTATAATATTTGGCTGAAATGTAATGAGGTCTAAGGATGAAGTAGCAGAAAATGAAAACACTCGGGTAAAGTCGAAACTTGAGTAAATGTGCTTAGTTACTTTCGAGTTAGCTAGATATTTTTGGATCGAGATAGATGTCCTACTTCATAGGGTACGCTGAGAATTCAGCATCGCCATCTAACATTAGTGTTGGCTAACGTCAGCTGCCTTGCACTTGAGCTAACGATAAAAACAGAAAACAGTCGGCGTTTCGACTGTTTCAATTACTTTTCGTTCAATAAATACACCGCGCTCAATCAAAACATAACTGCAAATATGAATTTGGAAACTCTTTAATCTGTAATATTATGGCTCTTACCCCGAGAGGCTTAACCCAGTTCAGTCGGAACCATTTTTATCAACAACACGCATAAGACGGAAAACACTCAGTTCAAAAGTTCACTTCCGGGTCAATTGGTTGTTTGTTTTTCTTTTGCTTTGAATAGTATCTAAATTATATATCACAAAAGTACTATACTGGTGTAGTAATACCTAATGCAATGATGAAGTTCGTTAAATTCTGTAAATAATTTTCTTTTTAGTTTGGGTATTGACCTCGGTTGTTGTGGTTACGGGTTGAGTCTGGAAGTGGCAACAGAAACACCTTTGGAAACATGGCTGTGCAGAGCTGGGTTGATATACTAAAATTATCCAAGAAAACTGCTTTGATACACGATGGTGAGTATAACTAAGAAACATGTTTTCAATAGAAAGCATGTTGTCAAATCGCCTCAATTATAACCATTTTGCCTGACGCTAATAGCTGGTTATTAGTATTAGGTTAACTCATACTGTTAGCTAAAGTTAGCTAATGTTACCAAATGTTACTAGACAACAAGCTAATGTCACAACTAGCTCTGTACTATATTTTAACAGAAATGTGCACGAAATACAATATGTTTTTAATGTAATTGTAATCAACCCGTAAGGATTATAGAACAATTTATGAAAGGCTGGTCTCACCTAGCCTGTTAGCATCTCTGCTCACTTTACAGTAATCCCTGAAATTGTCTTATATCAGTACTCTTTTCTGAAAAAAGGTGTTTTTATCAGATCAAAATTTTATTCAATATTGTAGGCTGCAAAATAAAAGAAATATATATTATATTGTATGCTGTCCTAAAATGATCAGATGTAAAGTTGCGTTGGTATTCAAACTAACTGGTTTGCTTGTACCAGAGTGAAGGAGTCTCGTTTGTGCTAAACTAGAAATACATTCTAGTAATCTTTTCCTCCCTAATTTGTACATTATTATCTCTCTAAATTCCACCTCAAGGAAAAAGGAAAATCCATTACCTCTTTACAGATGGAAAGGAAATGGCAGAAGAGTATGACTTGAAAACAGATGAGCTCATTGGTAAGCAATAAATCTTGAGTTTTACGCAGCTGCGTGGGACTAATAGTTTATACATTTTAATATATTGGATGAGTTTATGTTTCTTATGAAATATTTGGTTTCTTCCAGTAAGAAAGTGGCGCCATAAAAGCACACTGGGAGCTCAGGGCCAATGGCAGATGGAAGTTGGGGAGTCACTTACAAACCCTGTCATTTCTTTGGACTCTGATGTGATCAAGGAGAACTGCTCCAATGTAGAGTTTCTTCTATGTTTTCTTTTATATTGACTTGATAGCATTACAACTAAGCTGCTACATTTTTTACTTCATTTTTTTTTCTTTGTAATTGTCACTTGTAATTGTCAGGCTTGCAAAAGGGAGTTGATTTTTTTCTACTTCTGCAGCCTGTGTTCATACGTAAAGACACAAAGACCAACTTTCAGTGGAGAATCCGCAACCTTCCCTATCCCAAAGACGTCTTCAGTGTTTTTGTGGAGCCGTCTGAGAGATGCATCATCATTAAAACCTCAAACAAAAAGTAAATACTATGTGCATGAGCGCACTGGTCTTCCCTGACCATCTTTTCATTCCTGATATAAACTTGTCACCTGTAATCCTTATGTCTTCCCTATAGATGGCACTGTTCACAATACTTTTTGCAGTATGGTATTGTGACAAACCCACAGTATGACATCTTCTCCATATCTTTGTAGGTATTACAAGAAGTTCAGTATTCCTGATATAGATCGCAGTCATCTGCCATTGGAGACCTCCGCCCTCAGCTTCACTCATTCCAACAATACTTTAATTGTCAGTGTAAGTTCTACATGAAAAAGGAAAATAATAATCCTTACTTCTAATGTTATATAGCCTAATATGTCGTATGTATAATGATTTGATTGTTAGATCTATGTTCTAACATAAACAGTTTCACGTTTATTCTCAAATATTATTATGCTCATAATAAGTGCTCTGTTTTACTTTCTTTCAGTATAGTTACAGTGAAGGATTATGCAGGAGGGAGTCAGAAATAATATTCAATTAATTTCTTCCTACTCTCTTGTCCAGTACAAGAAACCCAAAGAGATCTTAACCCTTGAGCAGGAGCTGCTGAAGGAGCTGAAGAAACTGAAGGGAACCAGTGAAGGAGATATCGACTGCAAAACTCAGTGAATTCTGAAAATTACTCAGTGTTGTATTTAAAGCAGAACCTCACAGCATCATTTTTGAAAAAAAAAAAAAAACTTTGCTCAGTACCTTGTCATTGGTCTGATACTTCTAATTGGGTTTATTAATTGCAATCCATTTATTAAAATTGTTCATTTTGAAATGTGCCCTGCCATTTATATTTGATATAGACATAGTGAAATGTACAGTATATGTGTGTTGCAGTCTTTCAACCAGATTTATTAGTTTTGCAAAAATGACAATGACCGTTTTTGTATCGTAACACCTAATCTATTTTTGCTTCTTGTTACCATATCTACTAAGGAGAAATTTTGATGGTGGTCACATAACCTCCCACCATCCTTTCAGTTACGTGCTTGTAAAACATTCAGAATACCCGGTGCTCATCCCTGTTCGTTCCAGGGTCACTGTTACGAGTACATGCCATTTGTGTTAACTGAATGTCCTCATGTTCCTTGCATGCAGTGGGCCACCCTGAAAGTCACTAGTGTTACCGTTTCCCTTTATAACAGATGTTCACTCAGATAAAACTCTATAGACACAAGTTAAAAATAGATGCAACAGTTCCAGACTTTTGTTCCAAAATGATTTGATATTGTTGTCTATGAAGGACAAGTATTAAGTCAGCATTTAATGATTCTAATCCTGATTTCACATTGCTGACATACTGAATTCCATGTGTCTATATGACAAATACGTATAAAAAAGGACTGTGTAGATCCATGCTTCAAAATTGGATATTTGTCTATTTTCCAAAGTTTTATTAAAATAAAGCACTGTCCCATTAGAAAACGAACAGTGCTGTTTAAAAGAGACTATAACATTTAATTACAGATTGCTTCAACCTTGTGATTTCTTGCATTTTTTGCAACTTGTCCAAACCCAGACAGCAAGTGCAAAAAGCAAAGACAAAACCACAGGTTTCTCTCCCTATTGTGCTTTGTCTCCTTCCAGATGGAAAGAACAGGAATTCAAGAAAACAGTTTAAATGTCTTTCCTGTTGCTTTGAGACTTGTTGTGAGGACTTTGATGGAACTTGCTATGACAAAAATACATTCACACATACCTGATTAAGTAGTGTTTGCTTTTTTGAGGAGTTGCAGTGTTGATCCTAAATGTAGAAAATGTAAAAAGTGTCTGCTGATGCAGATGTGCGAAATACCAGTCGTTCATTCTGAGGTCTTAATTTTTGGTGATTTACTTTAATGCTTTACTGTCTTAGGAGTGTGAGCTGCTGTCAAAACAAATTCCTTTGACAGCAAACACAAACTAACAAACTGGACATCCAGCTCATGAACTGCAAGAGAAGCCAGGTCCCTCAGTTCAGGGTCTTCTTCCTCCCCTGTCGTTTGGCCTCTGATGGTCATGCTCAGTTGCTTCTGGGAAGAGGGTTTCTTTTCTGCCTCGCTTTTCAATCTCGAATGCCTCTTCCCAGCCATTCTCCCTCTTTCACCCGATGCCACATTTTGCCACACAGGCCCTGATGCTTTTTCTGCAACTCCTCAACTTCTTCTCCGCAACCTTCCCCCTCTAGCCTCCATCCCCCCTTTCCCCTCCCTGTGTGACTGGCTTCTTTTTGATAACTGACCCCTCCTCGTGTTATTATTCGAACCCACTATTGTATAACATGCCCTTTTATATGAGGTTTCACAAAGGGCCCATTTGATCAGAGGGTTACGGTGCGCGATCGTGAGAAATGCAACTACATGGTGGTAACTTTTGTTTGGGCCAAAATGGTGGGCTGACCTCATCGCTTTTAATGCATAGCTCAGGCCATTCAGGCCCAAGTCTCACTTGCTGAGCACATTGAATTCAGTAGCCTGTCACAGATATTGCCCCTTAGTTATCTGGGTCTCCAGCTTGAGGATGAAAAAGGGAAAAGAAAAACAACTGTTATTGAGGGCAACCAACATTGTATGTTAGCTTTCAGTCCCAAAACAACCACACCAGAGATAAACAGGCAGCATGTGAACTGATTCTTTAGTGGTTTTAATATATACTCTACAATAAATATTTCCATCATTTGATGTAATTTACATTTTTACAGTAAAAATATATTCATATATGTAAAAAAGGTTAAAATTCTCCAAAATGGCCTCCAAGAGGCAAGATAGCAGGTTAACTGAGACTCAAATGCTGTAAACACAAGAAAATCCTCAGATAGCTGCCATGTCTAGATTCATTGTACTCATTTCTCCTTTAAACATTCTCTGTTGCTGAGTTAACTACCTTACAACCAAAGGTTTTCCTTTCAGTCAATGTAGTTGAGCCCTTCAATCTTTTAATTGCCCCTGATTTAATAGGAGAAAAAATGTATTTTCTAAAGTCTGTCTGAATTGGAAACTAGCAGATTAGATAGTCAATGTCTACATAGAGTCCAGTACAAAGAATTACATGATAAGTCCACAAAATGAGGCAAAAAAGGTGTATGGGCACTTGACTGTAAAAGTTGATTTCACTGGGAGCACATGTTTTCTCCTGTAGTGGTTCTTCTGTCCTGACTGATCTGCAGTTCTCCCTCAGTGGTTTCAGCCCTCAGCGGCCCCCTGAGCGCTGGTGATGCAAATGTTTAGTCCGCTTGCTGAAAGGGTGTATGGGTACAGTGAGAGGAAGAACATCAAACGGTCTCCTCTCACTCAGCCAGTGCCCCCTGGGTAGACGCTTCATGAAGTGGGCTTCCCTCTGGTGCTGCTTGGTCTTGGATGCCTTCTTCGGGCGGCCCTTGCGTGTGAAAGCCATATACCAGCCCTCATACTTGGCGTTCTGGAGCGCTGTGTAGTTGTTTTCCAGAACAATCTCAGTGAAGATGCAGTCTTTGCCTCGTCCTTTCCGCTGGGTAAGGAATAAAAAGGAGGAGAATTTGAGGAATCTTTGAACAATTAACATGGAGTTGAAACATCATCTTTATTTCCAATCAAATGCTCTTTGAAACCACAGGAAGGCTTTTCATACAAATCTGAAAATCAAATTTGTTCTGGTCCGAATGTGTCTTAGCAGTGTGTTGCCATGAGCTGCAGATCTGGAATAACATTTCCAAGAAGGAGACAAAATTCAAGATGTTTCTGTTGTCTTATAGAGCCACAAAACTATTAAGTCTGGATTACCTTGCCAATCAGCTTTCCTCTCTTGTTCATACATATGTAGTAGCCTGTCTTCACCCCTTTAATACGAACACGACTTCCAAAAGAGTCCGTCTCCACCTCCAGTTTAGCTGCAGAAGACAAAACGGATCACAGATAATGAGATGACACTGCTCTGACAGTGCAGGCGTGCAGATTAGGATGCTACAGTGTATCAGACAAACATGTTTCTTTTTTCTGAGTGCCTTCTTAATGCACAGCAGAGACTGTAAAAACTGGAATTACATCATTAAATTGTTTTCAAAACAAACATGTCCAGAATCATAAAAATGAAAAATAGCCTTTATGGTTTGGCAGTCACCTTTAACAACACATGCAAGCCTTCAAAAATAGAATGAAATGATGGTGATGTCACTCAGTGTGACTGCTGCTGAATGTCTGTAAATGCTGTGCTGTGATGCAGTTCAGACTGGGGATAAAGGAGAGTGAGAACAGTGCAGTCAGGGAGACAGCCACAAGCACAGAGCACTGGTCAGATTTGGGCCATTTACAAGAGTGACACTCATTTAGGATGTGTAGCCAGTGTGCATGATTGACCTACTGCCTGTGTGAATGTGTGTGTAGGCAGAGAGAGTGAAAAGACAAAAGAGCATACAGGAGAAGAAAAGCTATACAGTAAAGATGCTGACTTCACCACTCCTTATATATCGAATCTTACACTGAGTTGTAAAGCAATGAAAATTCCTCATAAAATCAGGCTGAGAAAAGTTAGGCAGCAGGCATTGAGAAGTAGATGGGTGGTGGTCGTGGAAAGATGACCAGACAACAACAGTCCTTTAGTGGCACAAATTCTGCTCCCTTTAAGTTAAAGACTGTTCCCTGCCAGAAATAAAGAAAAAAAGGCCCCACTGAACTCCATCATATACTTTCAAGGCCATCAACACACTACAGAAATAAATTATCTTCAGAAGGCCATAAAAGATGGCAACATTAATGCAACGTTTACAACTGCTGCTACTGTTTCTCTTGATTCAAATGCTGCCAAAAACGACAAAATGTATATTACTTTTCAGTATTGTACCGCCAGCCACCGACTTTAAACAACTTCTGCGTTGGCAAGGCGAACATGTTTCATTATTCGTTTGGATTTTACTGCATTCCAGAGGTCTGAGAGCACTGAGATGGAAGGAACGACGACCTTTAGCTGTCACCGCTTTTTGATGGACCTACAAGAAGTAAAGCTGCTGATCGTTTCAGACACAATAAAAAGTGCTTTCCCAAGAGTGGATGAATATATTGAGGCATTTGTTCAGCTGTTTACTATATATTAAATTGAATATATAATTATATATACGCCTGTTATCTAACAGCATTCAATAGGTGAAATGATGTAGTCTCGCCATATTTTGCAATTTTCTCTCATAAATTGTCTGCTTAGTGGTTAAATGGACACTTAATAGAGGGTTTTGACACACATTGTGCCGAGCTTCATTGTTAGGTCATTTTTCATTTTACCATGCACTGCTCCGTCGTCTCCGTTGGCGTTGACCCTCTTGTTGGCCAGCACCTGGACGTGTTTCCCACTGGTGCGGCTGTACAGCTGGTAGGTTCGGGTCAACCTGCGGCTCAGCCGGTCTGACACCCGGCTCTGCTCGGTTACATGGTGCTTGAAATTAGGAGGAGGCTGCACAGAGCTCTGTTGGACAATATAGAACACGCATGACATTAAGTAAGAAATCACTTTTTAACGTTGCACGTTTCTGCTTTGCAACTCAGCAAAGCCTAAAAATAATGTCAGTTGCGAGGAGGCTAAAGCTTGCCAATCAAACAGCCAAGGCCCTGCTGTCCCGTATAGTCCATTACTGTATTCATTATATTTAAAACATCATATTTAAATAATTATTCTTACATTTTCTGTTACATTTTTTTAAATAGATGTGTATTTTGGAGATGCTTTCGTTGTCCCTCGGGACTGCATTCCTCTGTGTTAGTTTATTTTTAAGGCTTTCTTTACCCACATGTGTTTTAACTATTACTTTTTAGACTGGAGTTTACCTCTTCTCAAGATGTCTGAATTGTTGCCCATTGCCATAGCACTTGTAATAAAACTTTTCACTCTTATTGCAGCCCATTGCAAATGTAGAGACGGTGGACTATAAGCCGCAAAGCACGGCGCATGAATAGGCTACCTGTTAACAGTCATATAGTTCATTATAGAAATTTACGTACCATTAGTGCAAATGTGCAAAAATGAAAATGTGAATTACCTGTGCGTAAAAGCAAAGCGCCGTGAAATGAAGTAACCTGGTGGGAAAAGGAAAATATTTAAAGGTCTTGTATTATTGCTCAAATTCAGTGAGTTTCAGCTGTATTATCTTGACATTTCTTTACTTACAGATAACCTAACCTCGATGTTCTCAGCCTCATCATGTAATAGTTCAAATATTGCTTCATGAATACTCCACTGATTCCGTGCCTGAAGGTCTCGAAAATAAAGATACTCCTGATGAGGAGTTTAGCTCACTTTTAAACCACTTTGTACACATAGATAGACGTTACAATTAAGAGATCCAAGAACCTCAGGATCTCGTACAAGTAAAGGATCCGATCTCCACTCCACTGACACGTTAAAACGCGCAGAAAACAGAAAGGCGCTGCGGTGCCAATCCAAACTAAAAGTCCGGAGAAAGTTGCGCTGTTACCAAAACGCTTCCATCAAAACCTCTTCGTGCCATTCACTGTCTCCGTAGGTGACGCAGGTCTCTGTGAGCTTTTCAAGTAGAAATACATCCTCTGTTACCTTCTGTGACACAGCAGCGGCGTGGAAGTTTAGTTTTACGCACGCATCTTTACGCATGTTCGGTAACATGCGTACTGCGAATTTTCTAAAAATCGGTGATTCAGTTTTTAAAAGTACTGAAGGAATCCTACGACTGTCAACACGGTGTTATTTGTTTTCTGTTCAGAAATGATGCCACAGCTGTCTCTCTATAAGATGCACAGACAGTAAAACTCCAACGTCAGCCTTCCTCCCACTTTTGTGGTCGCCTCCTGTCCACATTCAGCATCTGTCTCCCCCTACATTTAAATACTTTAACTTGCGGGAAAGTCAATATCTTTGGCGAAAACAGGCGGAGCGTTCAGGCTCAGGCCAGTTTGAAACTGAACACTGGTTAAAACATTTTGTCTGCACCTATTTGCTTACACATCCAGTAACAGATTATTTAAATGCTTGTAATTAAACGACCTGTAACAGAAAAGATGAAAATGCATAACTTCCTGATGAGGAGCAGAGCTTATAGCCTATATAGGTTACTATTCAGGTTAGTCTCTCTCTCACACACACACATGCACACACACAGACACACACACACACACATATCCAAAATGTTTTGACATTGCATTTATTCACAGTCATACACATTTGTCTTATTCAGCGCATGTCATTACATTACTGCATCTCCATCCATAAAAATCACAGGGCACTTAGTTTTCTATAGGCAGGAACGTCCACATGGAAAACATCCCCAGTATGTACTTAAGAAAAGCTACAGTTACACTGACTTATTCCCTGTCTGCAGGTTAGAGGTTGTCTGCTGGTCTCCCAGGACAGACCTTGATGTACTTTTTCATCCTACATATGTAAGTAATATGTATTCCATGTGAACACATGACACAAAATGGTTTTCACATAACATCTAAAGCCTTTGCCTTGGATACAAATGTTCTCTCCCTCACAATCACTTTTCCATAACTTTTCACAATCCTGGTTTGATTTTCTAAAGTGTGTGTCCTGGGCCTGATGTGCCACTTTCATAGCATGATTTCATACACTATATTGTGTAATTTTATTGTAATGATTCTTTGTGACAACAAAGCAACAGGGTTTCCTTCAAGTCAACAATTTCACATTTGTCTGAGGAGGGAAGAAGGATAGTTGTAACACTTTCACTCTACATTTAATCAACTGATGTTCCATTAAATCTAATACATAAAGAAAAGAGCTGTGAATAAAGCTTCTGAAGTAGCATATATACTTTTCAATCACAGTGTTTATAGCCACACATAAATTATTACATTCAAAAAAGTGGCTTCATAATTTTAAATTATGTGTACCCTGAATATGTTGTTACATTTTACTCTAGTGTTACATTTCTTTTCAGATTTCTTTAAGATAAGAAACTTGTTTTTCTAACAGACCCATGTAAGATGTTTGTATCAGATTTTACATGTAAATTTTACTTAAGTGACTGGAGCTATGGAAAGAAATAAAAGTTACATTTAAGGCCACTCTATCTCACTTTCACTGTTTCTGTGTGTACAGGTGAAATAAACATTAATTCACAAATCATTCACAAACTGAGAAACAACTGTGACTTGAAAAGGTTGAAACACACTAAAAACACCAGGCACTGCCTTCTAAAACTTTTATGTATATCTCAAGCCTCATGAAACCATGAGTGGAACAAATTTTAAATGACACCAGTGCCTTGGCAGCCACTCTTTAAATCAATATAGAAGTGTTAATACACATTATAAGATTATTGACCCCAAACCGCAAATCTGATTATCACCCTAATGAGCCATAACCAGTTTTTGGACTTTGACTCTTTACCTGTGCTGGTTCATAAACACCGGCCCATGTTCTCTTCCCTTCACACAGAACAGCTT